AAAAAAAAAAACAAGACGAAAGCTATTTAAAATTAGAAAAGGAATAGCATACATGTTGCTCTGAGCAAGAGGCCTCCATCTGTTCAGGGTCCATGTCAGCCTCTGGCATGCCACTAGAGTCATCAATACTGCCCGATTCATCGTCCTCAGTGTGGTCGTAATCTTCAGGAAGGGTCACTGGCTCATGAATTTCAATACGACCATGAGATGGTAATTTCCTACAACGAAAATAATTACTGTATTATCCCCAATCGTGGTCTGCGATCACTTGTACGCCAAAACACATGTCATTTGATGTGCAAAGTAGAAAACAGTCAATTAACAAACAGAAAAAAATTTAAAAAAAGCTCAAAAGGGTTTATAAACACAAATATTAACTAAAATAGAGAAACACAAAAAAAGCCGCTTTAGACGCTTATTCTTCAATGTCAGTTCCAAAAAGACTTGTCTTCTTTTTATAAACAACGAGGTATAAAAAAAAAAGCAAAATAAACTGAGAAATAAAAACAATATCACACCGGGCAATAGTATTCAAGAACCTTTAACTTCTACCATACAGCAATGAAACTTTCAGTATAAGAACAGAGTACAGGTAATGTGATAAACCCAAAAAATATCATAAAAAGAACTTTCACTACAAAAAATAAAAGCTTAAAGGTTTGTAAGCATTTAGAAAAGCAAACTCAGAAGAAACCCTCACTTCTTTTTAAGACCAAAACCTCCAGACTTCCGCTTCCTTTTCTTTGTTCCTTCAAAAGGTTCTAGTACAAAGTGGTAGTTATTCACAAGAACTTCGTATATACATTTCGTGATATTACTTTCAAAGTAACCACTTTGCGGGCGGCACTGATAAATTGCTCGTGCAACCCCCTTCTGGTACTTCCTGTCGTTACGTTTCGGGTTAAACCTAAAGAAAAACAAAGCAGCATAAAAAAAAAAAAATAAAGTTCTTAATGTAACGATGGGAACGAGAAAATCCTGGCAACGAAAAGTACCTCTGGGAATACTTGCGGGCGAACGGTTCAATTTTCGGAAGAGGCACGAACGGCGTAAAAGTATCTACTCCAAACCATGTAATCACTGCTCCAGCCACTCCGTTTACCCGAGTGAACTGGAACAATTCACCGGGCCAAAATGGTTCAGAACCATTCTTTGCCCACACAATATCACCAGCTACTAAACTAAAAGGGTTCTCTTCAACAGTTGGATTATCGAAAGCACTTTCAGCTGCAGCACGACTAGCACTCTCAAAGGGAGTCGAATGGGCCACTTCTTTCTCTTCAACATTTTCAACTTTTTTCTTCTTCCCGCTAGTTTTCTTTTTCTTCTTTTCTTTCTCTCCTACATCGACGTTTTCTTCCACATCCTCATAATCCTACAATAATAATAAATATAAAATGCAAAAAAACATATTTATTAAAAACAAACTACTCTCTAAACCTAGTTCCTACGTTTGACGTCAAAGTTACCTGATTACTACGAGGCACCATCGGGGGACAACCCGTCTCAGACCTACGAACAACATCTTGTTCTTCGAAGGATTTTGCTATTTCTGGCGGACATCTCAAGTCAGCAACACTACGTCTCGTCGACTCGCTAGATGTACTCGTCGCTGGTGAAGACTTTGTCTCCATCGTTGAATGGGGATAACTGCCTAATGAAATTTTGACCACTATTTTCCTGTTATCGGTCGCATTTGCCTTTTTTGATCCACCAAACTTTATTTTACTCGAATTTGCTAAACCTTCATTTTCGGACTCATCACCTCCTTCAGACTCCCTCGTAGTCGTCAACACCTCTGCGAAAGAGGGAAGGTTGGGACTATTACAAACAATAGGAGCCTTTTCAAGTTTTTCATCAGAATTAGGGTCGGAAGTATCAGGATCTTCTTGAGTATCTGCCGTCAGTTCTTCACACTCTAGTAGCGAAGCTAGTGTTCCATTTTGAGGTGAAAACTGTGGCCTGAAAAACGAAAAACAGGCAAAATTTTCAATAGTTTAGTAAAACTATCATCCTTATGGCAAACAGTGGAAATAAGGCTGATTGAAAGGACTTAAAACTAACTTTTCAACGACAATTTCTTCTAGACCACTATCCACAATGGAGGTATCAGGAGCGTCAGAGACAGGAGCAGGTGCAGAACCTGAGCCAGGGCCAGAAGGAGGAGTAGAGTTGGAGCTAGGAGCTGGAGTAAGAGCAACAGCAGAAGTTGCGGAAGTGTTAGGCCCAACAGGTGTTAAAATTGAAAGAGGAGTGAAGGTAGGAGTTGGAGACAACGCAGATACAGGAGAACCTGGCCTAAAACTAGAAACTTGCGAGGGGGTAACTGTAGCCGAAGTTGCAGATGTTGATGCAGCTGAAGGGATCCGGATGGGGCTGGAGCTGGACTGTGGTACAGCGGACGAAGTAGAGACAGAAGCAATTACAGAAATGTCATCTACCGAAGAGTTCTTATCTTCCAAAGGGGGATCCTTTTCTGCTGTAATATTGAGAGGTGTAACATTCACAAAATTAGCTGTTCCCACTGCAGGCATTTCACGAGAAGTCCTAAAGACCTTGAACCTCTTTAAACTGTAAGTATCTTGAGTTTTACAAATCAACGAAGAGAAGAAGTAAAAAACTTTAAGTTGCAATATATTCAACCCATCAGAACCACAATCTATAAAACATATAAAACCAATCAGTAACGAACTCTAAGACAGGAACGCTTGTACACTGAGATCCAGATTCACTTTGCGACATCTCATGGCTTGCTCCAGCGTGCGATAACGAACCGACTCCAAAACCACCTCGACTTACCCCATACGCGTTTCGAGTATGCCGAATTACGTCGTTCGGGGGGTCCTTCCCTTTGATGCATATCCGCCTTTGTGGTCCAAGTAACCTTTTTGCTGCAAAGAAAAAAAAAAAAAAAAGTGAGTCCTTGAAAGAGAACTGCAATTTTAGAGATTATAAAATCTAGATATGAAACCTGAGCGGTAATGCGGAGTAAACCTTCCCATAAAGGAAGGTTAGGAGAATGCCACAAAAATACTCGGCATAAATGCTCGATCAGAACAAAATTACTCTACGATTATAAGGCTAACTACAATAAAGCCAATCAAACGTCGGACAAAAAGAACGACGGAAAAAATAGTCAAATTTGGTATGAAGAAGTAAGAATTACAAGGAGCGGATACACCTTAGCACAATTTATCAGATGGAGTTTGGAAATAATGTTCACTCCCCATGTAAAAAACTGTACATCAAGTTCTTACACTCTCCTTCTTGAAAAATCTGTCACTGGAAAGTGGAAGAACAGTAATTAAAATCCTTTAGGGTTGTAAAATCCGAACATAGCGTTTTAAGCAAAAAAATAAAAAAAAAACACAACACCGCCGAGAGCAATTAATAATGCCTTCCACTCTTCTATTAAATTTAAAAGAAGAAATAAATCAGCAACCCAACTGGACATGTGACAGTAACATACTTTGATCAAGCTGCAAATAATCTTCAAAACTCCTTTCAGGGTTTGAACTTCGATCTCCAGTGCCATTGAAATTTGACCCTCGTTCATCTTTTAAAACATATCGCATTAACAACTTTGTAAATTCATCATTCCCTAGTGGCTGAAAATCCAAAAATAAAAAAGCCAATATCTGCATCCCGAATGAAGTACAAACTTCTAAGCAAAAATGTCTTCAATTTGGAATGAACTAAATAATGAAAAGGATGGTTACAAAAGTGAATAAATAACCTCTGAAGATCCATTTTCAAAATTAGGAAATTCTTGCGGTCGACTATCTGCAAAAATAAAACAATCTTCCTCGAAAAAAACAGTTTTCAGCAGTCATTAAGTTCACAACTGAATGTTAATTCTTTGGTGTATTTGAATAAAAAGACTATTGAAATGTTTCTAGGATAACGAATAATAAACTAACTTGGTAAGTTCGTGGAAAATAACGACGTCATTCCTCGAGGCACATAAGCTTTCCTTTTGTTCTTTTTTAAGAGCAGCTGCGTGGTACCTAATGTGGATGGGACCATGGCGGGACCCTAAAACGAATAAACAATGGAACCATTTATCTGTTAAAGCACTGAGAAGAAATTTGCTAAAGCACTGAGAAGAAATTAAGTAAAAGAGGAAGTACTAAAGAACCTTACAGCTTAACCATGAAAACCTGTCACGGCCACCATATGTAACTATTACAGCTTTAAAAACGAAAAAATGAAAAATGCGAATACGGAATATCCTCCAAAATTAAATGCAGCAGCAAGCTGCACTGAAATTTGCTGCAAACCACTCACTGAGCTTAAAATATACTTAAACACTAGTATGCTTCATTATTTTCGATACGAGTGAATGAGAATAAGAATTTACTCGGCTGCATGTGCTGAGGAAACATTTCTGTTAGCCCCTATATTGGCATTTCGGCTGTGCTCGTGCTGAATGTATTCACACTCAATTCTTTTCGGTCTCAAAGCCCAACAAAAGAAAACAAATCAATTTTCGATGACGTGCGCACCAGCGAGATAACATTGCACAATGAAGAAACAGAAGAGAAAAAAGCAAAATCAAACCTGTGGTGCGCCATGGTTAATAGTCTGCTTCTCGCGTCCATTCGTTAATTCACGAAAGCGCTGCTGCTGTTGCTGAACTTCTACCAGTTCCTTCTGCCGTAAAAACTGGAAAACAGTAAGTATGAGTGCAGTCATTAACCGACAAGTAAAAAGGGAATGTAAAAAGACTATGATATGAAAACGCTTCAATACGGAACCTATTCTCCTGTTAAATCATATGAATTGTTGAAGAAAGATAAATCCCTCACAATTTAACTGCCACTTAGGTATTACTTGTTATTACCTTAACGGAACTTTCGTAATTAGGAAGCAACTTCTGAGTCTAAAATTTTTATGCTCAACCAAAGGACCATTGAGAGATGAAAAGAGGAAGAAAACGAAAAGTATCAATTTCACACATTAGACTTTTCATTGTTCACACAGAGAAATAAATTTGAATCATGTAACAAAGAAAGTGGCCTGAAATAATTGAAATAAAAATAAGATGATTATAACACCATTCCGGTATTACTCAATTACTGAACCTTGTTTGTCATGTGGATGGGAAAAGTTCCGTTTGGATAATTAGCAAAAACATTTTGTTGCGGCACGTCAGACCCTCTGCTAGAATATGCCGGCTGCCGTTCATGAACCCTAAAAATTTTAAATTTACAAAAATAGATAAATTAAAAACTAAGAAAGGAAATTCTGAGTTCATATTCTGGATTATTCGAAATTGATGTTCCTAAAATAAAGATATTTGAAAGTAGCATACCATCGCCCCAGGTAAATCATCCCAAAATAATCAGCACCGTTCTGAGAAGATTTTATAACATAATTGTCCCAACTTTTCCCTATGACTACAACTTCTAACCGAGTCCCAATTTCCAGCTCCGGCTTTGAAAAGTAACCTGTAAACAAAAATTAATATTACTTGAAACACTCCTCTGCAGTTACAAATGCTGTTAAAAGCAAAAAAGTGAAAGAAATAATTCAGCAAAAAATGGAAACGAAAAACTGCGAAATACAGCCTTCTATGACAAAAAAGAAAAATTTCAAATTATCTTTGTATTCCAGGTGTGTGTAAAAAAACAAATGCTTACGAGTAAAATATCCATGATTTCTGTTATATTCCATCAGATGCCAGATGTAACAGAACCCGAAAGTTTTAAGGCGTTATTTTTAAATAAAGACAGCTGAAAATTAACCGTTCAAAATCACATGCAAGTCAAGAGAAATCCATAAAGAAAATGATGTTTTACGTGACAAAACAGAGGCATCGTAAGTGAAAAAAAAATTTATAAACCAAAAACGGCAAAAACTTTGAAAAGACTAAGTAATTGCAACAAACAGAAATAAACGCTTTAGATCGGACCAGAAATTATAGGCATGAAGCACATATAAAATAAAAAAGACGTGACTAAACATAAGTGAAATCAAATTCCTACTTACAAAAAATAGCACACTATTCCAGACAGGGAAACAACAACTAATACACAGATGTTTTTCCCAACAGCTTTACTCAAACGGGTATACAAATGCACTAATAAATTTAAAACACAGAAGCTTTCGAAAGATCAATTATATCATTTTACTTGAGAGTTTTTCTTCCACTCTCTTCAGCACTACCTGAAGGCAACTCGCATCGCGACCTGACGCGTCAGAAGCGAATGCATTGTTAAGTGAGAGACTGGATGAGGGCGGGCAGCGAACGCGCGCAACCGCCCTGCCGAGCGCCACGCACTAATGACTTCGCTTTGACATCTGCGTTATTCCCAGAAAATTTATACAGGTGTTCTTGTTTTTCCGAACTTAAAACAATTCCAGACAACTAGAGGCTCCATTCAAAATACATGTGCACGTCCCCTAACCAAATAAAGCTAACCTAGCCGATTCTAACGGAGAAATTTTGAAAGATTTCAGACCTCAAAAAATAATCTGTCCCCTTCCAGTAACGAACTAACTTAAGTACAACCAATAGCAATTAAGAAAATGAACACGAATCGGGATACCCGACTTTATCGACAGATGAGACTGAACAAAAGAATATTCTACGACAAGCTAGCATGATTACCTCGGAGCGAAAAAGAGGACCAACCTGATTACAGCAGCCGTCAAGACTTAAATTAACTAGGAAAAGTTGTCAATCTAAGAAGAGAAATCCAACAGTTTAATATTTTATTGCATTTTTATTACCAATAAATAAAAACTTACTTGACAAAAAAGATGAGAGATTGTGATTTCTTTCCACTCGGTTCCCTCGCCCAAAACACGTGACCTGGAATAAACATTTACTTAAAAGGTAAACTACAATTTTATTTCATAACGTAGTAGGAGTCATAAAAGGGAATAACGCTTCAAGAAATAAAGTGCATCAAACTCAAAAACAAAAACTACGAAACAAACAGTGAATGAAGTATACGGCTGCTAGCGCTAAAATTTGAAAGAATCATTATTCAAACAAAAATTAGTCTCTCTGAAGCACTTAGTGGAAGCTTGAGATATTCAGTGGCAAAGTATCCGCTAGAAAAAAACTCACAATATGATGTTACCAATGTTTCCAAAACGTCTGCTAACATTAAACAATCTAAGCTGTCTAGAAAATGCAACTTGAC